GCTCAAAATAATTAAATAATTTTTTCAACTGAGTGCTGGGTATTTACTAGTCGAGTAGGCGTAACTGTAACATTTTTACTTGTGGCTGTCTTTTTTTACCTTTGTTACTGGCTGTCGTTGATAACGTTGTCATTTGTATTGGCCACCGTTTTTGTTAAGCATTTGCTCTACACGTACGCAACCCAATTTAATATCACTCGTTGCCTGGAAATTGTTGCTGCCAGTTGATTATGTTCCCCAATGGAGCTCGCTTGTCAGTCAGCCAGCCAGCCAGCCAGTTAGTCAGTCGCACAGTTGTTGGCCGTTTGTGTTTTTCGGCCTATTGATTTGGCTGTTACTTGTTTGCTTGGCTTATGCATTAAAATGCCACAAAAAACGAGGTGCTCATAAATATTTTTTATATGCCATTTCTTTGGTTTTTGCTTGCGGCTCTGCAGGGCTTGGCAAATGGAAACATCTAATTTAATCAATGGCTTCACGTGCTGTGGCTACATAAATTGTAGCTACATTTGCAGTTTCTTTTTTGATTTCGTAACTTTTTTCTAGACATTTATGTACTGTTTATTATGAGCCATCATGAGAAACTGTCATAATAGGCGACATTAACGAATTTCTCGTAAATCTATACGAACAATTTTGAATACATAAAATTTCCTTGTCCGAGTCAATCACAACATAAAATTCAAAAAACTATCAACAATAAATGATCGTTCACAATTTGAGTATCTACCCACAGTAAGGTTTTTGATTTACTTATATATGAAAGCTTATTTGATTTTTAATCCAGGTCATGCAAATCGAGAAAATTAAAAAAAATCAGTAGTAGTTCTATTCTAAAATTTAATTTTACGAATAATTATTGGAAAAACTTTTAATTATTTAATAACATGATATCGTAGAAAATTCAAACTTATTTTGAATAATTGAAAAAGTTACAAAGTTTAAATATATCGAAATTGTTAAATTGCTAGATATGTCAGGGGCAAATTATAATGGAAGTGGCATTTTCTTAAATTAAGTATTTTCATTCCAACTGTATTTATAAAATTATACCACTTCCTCCAGTTTTTGCCCAACCCTATCCACGAGTTCATCCAATTAAGCGTGCCTCACGCACTAGATACTACTTAAAAGTTAAAGTATTTGCTTTACAAGCATGTTTTACTTAACTGCATTCCATTGCCAAGCACTTGATGCAGTACATAACAACGGATTCATCAGTGTTTCGTTTTCCACTGTCTATGGCACATTTTACCACAGTTAATTTTATGCGGCAGGATTTTTTAATGTTTCTCGCCTCTCCGCTGCATTTTTGCGCTATTTGCTGTTTCTGAGGTTGTAAACCATTTTTTCTCCATTTTTCCGGCAACGTTGCTTGAAATGTGGGTTAATTTTACAATACAGGAGGTAGTCCACAAATCATCCGGCCGGTTACTTAGGTAGATTGCCAAGTAGTTGGCAGCTAGTGGTAGTAACGCGCGAGGCATTCAAATTGCAATTCCATTTTAATGCTGGTATTGTGTAATAAAGCCGAGCTAACAATTTTTTAATGGTTTTTCTTATAAAGCATTTCGTTTTCAAGCAAACGGACGCGTGCCAACAGCTTACGATTTGATTGTGAAAGATACTTTCCCAAACAGTCAATTAGCAAAACAGCAGATACTATTGAGGCGCCGCCCATTCGAAAAATGTGACACAGCCCGTATTCATTATTCATTAGATTTATCATAGATCCTTGTCCACTTTGTCAGTGCTGCTTGTGATACATATAAATAATTAAAGAAACAGTTGTAAACAAGGTGCAAAACTCCCAAAGAACATGACAACAGCAACAATAATATCAACAACAACAATTTAAAGTACAAAAGCAACAGAAATATCGAAAAGAAAAAAATGTATCTCATAGAATACACGTTAGCCATGAGATACAATTACGTTGAAATCTTGGCAGCAAATCAAAACTGCGAACAAAAACGCTGATTGGCCACAAAAATTCACACAGCTTACAAATAATTACAAAATGCGCTTCGATTGCATGTGAAGAAAAATAAATAAAAACAACTAAAAACCGTTTATGGTCGACAAACCGAATATTATATACCCTTGTAGGCATACCGCATACGGTGAAACTAGTTAACCGAGTTTGGTTTAAATGTCTTGAAAATCAAAATAGTTTTTCTTAAAAGAACTAAGCCCGGTCAGTTTAAAAGACACCAGCGTTAAACTTTTGGCCGACCGTTCCTACGCTAGATAAGATATATATTGTTTCCATATTGATAAGCTGTAATTATATGTTAAACTTGCAATATCAACGTTTTTATTTTGCGACAGATATATGATATGGTAGGCGCATCCTGCCGATTGCGACATATGTATGTAAAGTTGAGAGACAGACGGAATATATATACTTAACAGGGCCGAGATGTCTTCTCCTATGCGTTACACATTACATGACAAAGTTATAAGACCCTTCACAAGGGTATAGAAAGACAAGAGCCAAAAAAACTTCTCAAATGCCAATCACAAGGCATACGAAAAATGTGCGTTTTGCTGAGCTTTTATAAGAATTAACAATAAATTGCATAGGCTCGTTTGCTAATGGTTGTTCACAATTGTTGTTGTAGTTTTATTGTTGTTGATTTTCTTAACTGGCGCTGGCGCATAAATTTACACCTTATTGGCCCCCATAGCGCCCAGAGCGAGTACGTGCCCGGCCAGCACCCAGCACAAACTGGCAGACTCGTTTCTACGAACACCAGTGAGTGTGTGTAGATGGATCACGGATCAGATTGGCAGTCGCAGTCGCCACTTGTCTATTTGATTTAAAACTTTATAATTAAAGTGGTTTTGACTTAAATTGGTTAATCATATTTATATTTGAAGTATTCCAACAGAGAGTCATGCACAAAAAAGTAAATGAATAACATTCAAGCGTAAATGAATTGTGAATTCAGAAGAATTTGCTTTTGGAATTGCTGTGCTGTGAATATGCGAGTATATTTAATTTAAATTCGAGAATTTTGCCGATCCGCTGAATTTGTGAAGCAATGCCGTTTGTATAATGATTAGTTAATTTTCTAAAATTGGTCTTAAGCGAAACATTCATTAAAGTCGATTGGTTGAGGCTTTAAAATCCAGCAAAAAATGCCTAAACAGTTTGTAAAGTGACTGAGTCAATAAATTGAAGTCGTAGAAGATATAATTTTTAAATTTATGCCAGCAGCCATCTTGATCTTGCCAACACTTAGAAGATATAAAATTGATATTCGGTTTATCTCCCTTTCCAACGAATAGTTGCACAATTTCATAAGCATTTTGGAACCATCGCAATAACATAACGTGGATGTGGCCAATGTTATTCATGTTTGATTTTTTGGTCACCATAGATAGCATTTTTATGTAAAAATAAGCAGCTGAAATTTATAAATATTTGATCCTCGTCCCGTATGCTATTCGCCCACATTTAAGCACAATGTAAACGGCTCAATCACGACGCACTGCATCGGAGGAGCATCGCAAACCCATGTTGGCGACACGCATTCGAGGTCATAACCCAATTCCTTTTGTGGTCGATTGTCCAACGGCTTGTCGAGTGATCGCTGCCCGAACTGGTCTGGCACTGGTACTGGTAGTACTCGTACTCGTACTCGAACTTGGTGCTGTTTTATCATCAATAGCAGCTGTAAGTATTTCCCGAATGCCATGGCCATCCATTACTGAAGCTTTGACCGTTGCTTCTTGGTCTTCGGTCTTCGGTCTCTGGTCTCTGGTCGGTCGATGCCCAATTGAAATTCGGTGCGCATTGCAATTGATCGCACTTTTTGCCTTGTGATTGTGCGAGTACCTTTCTAACGTTGTCGTCGTCGTCATCGTCGTCGTCGTTGTATTTGTTGTTGTTTTTGTCGTCTTCTGGCCCGTTGGCATTGTCGCCCATCTTCATTATCATCCATGCTGCCGCGTGTTGCATTTGATGATGTGCATCGCCGCCGCCGCCGCCGCCGCTAGCAGAATGCAACAACATTGCCTTCATGTCGCCAACGTCGCCGTCGTCATTGTTGTTCTTGTTGTTGTTGTCGTTCGTTGTTTGTTGGTTACCGTTGTCATGATTTGTTGTCGCCAGTTTCTAACCTGGTCATACCACGATTTTGTCTGCTTTTCTAGCTTGGATTGAATTGCTTTTGCTTTCGTGGTAGTAGCCAGTCTTGTTGCTTAAAGAATTTTAATAATGCCTAAGGTTTTTTCTTGAACCCCTTAAGCATTTCCGGTTTGTTTGCCTGCTGCCGGAACTGTCCCTCTAAGGACAAACTCGCCAAGTTCAAAGTCATCAATCTGAGTGCGGCCGTAGCTCGTACTCGACCGCAGAGTGTTCATAACATGTGTGAAATTGACACCACATATGCCATTGACTGGCCCTGGCGGCGGAAACAAAAGCAATTTTACGCTACATTTGCTTAATGATACAACCCTCGATACGAAGAGGCAGCTGTTCTTTTCGAGTTTCTGGAGCTGTAAAGAGAAGTACTAGAGAGCAACTCGCCAAGAACTAAAAAGAAACTGCCCTTTTAAGAATTAAGGATATAATTAGCATTTATCGATTATCAGTAGAGTAGCTGCTGTTACTGGCTTTCTTCCGGAAAAAAAAACCAAATAATCAGTTGTCATAGGTTCAAAGATGAAGAATAATTTCCATACAGACTTAAATTCCTTCAGTTTCCATCCGTGGGGATGGATTTATTGAAATGGATTGCATTCAATACAGGTTTTAATACTTGGTTCTATTCTTACCCGCATTCTATTTAGAAATATAGCCATCCGTGCGTTAAATGCTTTAAGTAACTAAAAATATTTCATCACGTTAAGATCCCTCCCAACTGGCTTTTTCAGTATTTTTAACAAAATGCAAACGAGTTTTAAAATAGTTCGAATGTACAGACCTTCTAAATTTGTTTAAAATTGTCGATTTTATTAAAATAAAAATTAGTTTTTTCGGCACACTACGACACACTAAATTTGTTGTGTAATATGGCCAGTTGGGAGAAGTGGGTGGAACGTAATGCGAAGCCCAAAATAAAATTCTCAGTGCCCCAATTGCCACAACCACCGACACGTTGGCAAAAGCCTGGACCAATGGATCGACAACAGTGGATTGATTTTCACAAATGGGCCAAGGTAAATGCGTGTCCACTGCAGCAGCGACCCAAACGAAAGTCACGATCTGCACCGGAACCGACGCCCAATTTGAAACCGGATCGATCGATTCCGATTTCGCCTTTGGTTTTTATTTGTGTTGCATCCGAATTGCAAGCCGAGAGGGATAGAAAAAGAGAACTCAAAGAAAAAATTGAAATCTTGAGTCAGCCGAAATACAAACGGGAAAAGTATTTGCCGCCACCCAAAAGGGAGCATCCGTATCGGCCGCAGCTCCCCTATCGGCCACCACCGAAACCAGAGCGTGGACGGCCCACGGAGAAGCCCAAAGTGCCGTGCTGTTTTCAGCACGAAGAACTAAAAATAAATTTCTGGTCAAATTTGCGTTTTAAAATTTCCCCACAAGCACTTAAAGCCAAGCCTTCGAAAAAAGTTGTTGAACTGGCCAGACCGCGTACGTATCCACCCAAACTTCACTGTCCGTTGCCGGCGAATAAGGATGAGAAAATACCCAAGCGCAAGAAGATGTCTGCGAAGCAATGGAAGGATCATCTCATGCGCCTGGATTTCCTTTCTCAGCCAAATCCCCGTGTCCTGGCCGATCTAGCTCTCTCCTTTCCTGATTTGATAGTAGGTGCTGGCTTACAAGTAGGGTGTTTATGTAAATACTGTGGTTGCCCAACGGGTAAACCAGTGTACTACGATTTGGTGGATGAATGAACTATATAAGGATGCGTTCATACCTCCAGCAAATCGTTGTTCAATGGATCACGGCACATTAGCAGTCATTTGTCAAAATTAAACGTTGAAATTCACAGAGTCAATAATATTCTACAAAAATTTAGTATATTTTATTCAAAATGTATTTAAAGTATTTACGGGATATAACGTGATAAGATCCTTAACTGGAAGGAAAGAAAGAAACAATATTCGGAAGTCTTTATACACATCTTCGATAGCGATGCTTTTTGAAAGAACACAACGTTTTTGCACAGAGTGTATTTAATTGTAAAGCAGATTCCATTGAGAGGTTTCTTTTATTCATGTTGTAATTTCTTTTTTGGCATTTCTTTTTTAGCTACTGTTGGTTGTGGGATGTGTGTTGGTTTTCAATTTGTTGCATTAGGTGACTTATTTAATATTTGTATGGATGAGCCCAAGTAGATATTAAATTATATTGTAGGTTGTCTGGCCTTCAACATTTTGAGTTGTGCATTCGAGTCAGTCATATCGGTTGCAAAAGGTCAAGAGATGCACGAGTTGTGGATGCATGTTCCTTAAAGCAACAACCCAAGTAGATGACGAAAGGCGTGTCATTAGAAAATTCAATATAGCCGGCCGAGAGCCAGCAAAATGTCAGTGTTTTTAAACTTTTTTAAAGCATGCGTTGTGTAACTGGCTAGCTAAGTATCAAACCTTTTCATTCTTTCTATAAGCCTCTAGAAAAAAACATCTGCTCACAGGCGAAAAAAAAAAAAAAAATTATTTTTAAATCTGAAGTTCAAAGTTTCAAGCTCTAGTCATTCATTATTATACAATTGAAAACTCTGATTTGTCAAAATGAGCTTTACCAATGAAGATGGCGAAGCGGAAGAGAAGAAGTTAGTTGAGGAAGAGGACAAACCTGTGCCTTCATGGGTTGAGTGGTGCGAACGCAATGCTCAACCCATAAAGCGGTGCATACCGAGGGAGCAGCGCGAACTTACACGTTGGCAGAAGGCGGGACCTATGAAAAAAAAGGAGTGGAAAAAATTCTTTGAGTGGGCTTTGCAAAAAGCAATGCCAAAGGAACCTCCGCAGGTCGAAGTGCCTATTCCTTGCCTGGAAAAATACTTGCCCTGTGGCCGTGAAAAACGCAAAATGGATATGGACTCTTTGGAAGAGAGCATGGAGAAGTTGTCCAAGCCACTTGAGCGTAAAATGACACCAAAGCATGTTTACCAGCGTCCATTCTACGCCTATTCTCCGGTTATTGTATGGGGCAAGCCTCCACACCATGACAAAGGTCGACCATTTCCCCCACCCTTCGTACCCTGTTGTTTTCCCAATGACGATATAGAGGACGAATTCTGGGCCACTTTGCGTTTTCCAGTGCGGCCGTCCGCGCTCAAGGCGCGCCCCACGGCTCGTATCCTTAGTTTGGCCAAGCCGCACATAATGCCGCCAAATCCGCCTCATTGTCCCATTCCAAAAAAGGCGCCGGCGCCTCTGGAAGTGCCGCCACCGAAACGAAAGAAGTTTACACCACGTGGCTGGCGCTTACACCAAATACGCTTGATTTACCTCTCTAAGCCCGTGTCCAGACCAGAGTTCGAGTATTTCTATATGTGAATATTTAAATCAATATGGCCCTGTTTCGTTAATAAAAATTCACTGTATGTAGTTTTAGGCTTGTATTAAAAAATGTATTTTACCAACCTCAACGTTTTAAATCATCTTCAATTGCGAATACAATTTGCCATCTTCAATTGCAGTAAACTGACTAAGCAAAGCCGCTAAAAAATTAACAATTTCACGCTGATAAAAATTGCAATTTGTATCCTTAACGGCTTAAACAGTAGCCACGGCCACAGCTGGAGCCACACTCGCAATCGCAGTCGTAGTCGCAGTAAAAGTAATCCAAGCGCCCAAATCTGCCCAAGCCCAAGATGCACTTAGTCATGGCAGGCGCATTAGAGTCTCGCAGTCAAAGGTGAGCTGCCGCTGAGAACGGCATTGTGCTTCAATAGCCTTCGCTCCTCCGCCTCCTCCTGCTCTTCTTTCGTTACCTTCTGCGCCAGCTCCAAATTGCTGTTTATCAAGCGTAACAAACATGCGTCACATTGACTTTAGCTGGCCGGGCTAGGATCAAGGTTCACAAATGATCATCAGTCAAATCAATTAGATAATTGAATGAATGATTTGTAAAATCCGATTATATGCGCTCTTCCTTACACACAGAGTACCTTATAAAAGTAAATGATTGCGTGTGTGTGTGTGTGTGTATGTATAGCTGTGTGTCTGCATAAGTCCGAATATATTGTCTTGCCTTCTGCCCGCCCTTTCGTACTGAGCGTGCATTATGTACAGACTCATAACAGCTACACACAATTGCATAATATTTAACTTTATAAGAAACACAAATAAATAACTCCAACTAAAAATTGATTGCAGAGTTGACGTTTAAATATAAAAAAGTTACGTTTACCACAAAAACATTGTCTTCCAACCGATTCCTTATGTACAGCTACATGATAAAGCAATCCGATGTTAAGTAGAATTTCGCTCATATCACTCATATCCACGTTTTATGGTTAGTGCTCATATGCTGGAAGTGGGAGTAGAAATGCTGGGCTTAGCTTAGCTGAGCCAGCCTGCAACACAAAGAAGAACCTAAAGTACAGCTGAGGAACCAGTGCATTTTTCTCAACATTTCCCCGCACCAGGTTGATAACTAGGCGAGTGAAATATGGTAAAAAGCGATACTTTAGACAATTTTGTGTTTTCACCGCAATGCCACGTCGCCAAACGACAGTTGACCGAAATACATAGCTAAAGCAGCAATCAAAATAACGAATTGCCCAAATAATACAACCAATTCATGGTTTGTGTATGGTAAAGGATTGCCTTGGATTGAATATTATTGATAAAACTTATGCCACAGACAGGCAGACAGATAGGCAGGCAGGCAAGCATGCGATTCAATAATTTGGCACTCATTGTCGATTTTTGGCGCAGGTGTAACAACAATCGAAGCGATAGGCTGGGCATCGAGTTCTAGAGCCTCTTATTAAAAATTTTCCAAGTTGGCTGCCAAAGTTGTAGACAAATCCACAAAGGGGCCAAGCAACTGATGGCACCAACTGTTGTTGTCTGCATCCCATGATGATGATGATGATGATGATGATGATGATGGCGATAATAATGATGATGAGGATGGTTATGATGATCACTCGACTGACGAGACTATGTCGATCATGACTGGGCCAACCAGAGACAACGATGATGACGAAGTTGATTGGGGATTGTGAAATGTGATGATGTTGCTGCACTTGTGGTGCATACCAAAATAGCTAGCGCCAGGCAATGTCGCCATTGCGACAGCAACAGCAACAACAACAACAACAACAACAACAGCAACATGAGTAACAACAACAGAATCAACAAGCACATTGTTGCCATCGGTGGTTATTGCTGAGAGTTGCCTACTAAAGCCCGTCTCTTGGATTCTTTGTTGACTTTGTTTTATTTATTCAATTTACAGTTAACTTAAGTTAAGCAAAGTAAAAGGGAGATATACCAAAAAACATGAAAACCAAACAAATAAAAATTGTCTCCCATACGTACCTATGTACATGATGTACACTCAACCTCTTTTAGCTGGAATAGACAAATAATATATGCACACATTCACATTTAGATTCAGATTCACATTCGTATTCGCATTAGAATTGCTTGTCCTGTTGTTCTTGAACCCTGTGAGATACCAAAATGTTTCGACTGGCTCTTTGGCTTGAATACACGATTGCGCCCTGGCTAAAAAAATGTATCAGGCTAATACAAATATGGGCATGACACACATTACGTATAGGCAGCTGCTATATCTCTGGGGACATCTGAGTGGGTGATTCGGGAAGAGAAAGTGATGAACAAATGTCAAGCCATACAACACGAGTCAGGGATAATTGGTTTTTGAAGTAAGACACAAGAAGTGGCAGAAAAAAGTTATAATCTCATTAAACGTTCTACATCTGGCCCATATGTCTAATATATATCTTTAATTGTACTCTTATCAAGAAGATATATACAATTATTGTGCTGTGCTTCATCTTTTCATTCGCTTGGTGATTACTTGGGTGATTATTGATCTTTATGAGAACGCTGCTGCTAACATTGATCAAAATATGTATATATTATCGGTCCGAGCATGTCTCCTGCATGAGCCTCCGCAATGGTTAAAAAATAAGTTACTTCCAATTTTATTCAAGGAAATACATACTAAATGAAAACATATATACTAGGTTTGGTGTATCTACAGTTTATACTCTTTGAGTTATGTTAAGAAAACCATGTCTCAAAATTAAAAAAAAAAACACATGCAAAAAAAAAATTGAATATAATTTTGCCATTAAAAAGTCTCTACCTAGGAATTATACCCAATCCGGATGTGTGAAAATAAGATATAAACGAACTTATCGTTGTGCTAAATCTTTAATTTCATATAAGTATACTGAAAGTGATATTGTTGTATGACCAAAGACACTTCCAGTCAGGGAGGACAATTTACTAGCGCCGAAATGCATTTTTGGAGCATAAATTTTAAATGTGCTGTTAAATTTGAACAAAATTCTCTCTCCCTTTTTATGTGTTTTACTGGTGGTTGCTTTGTGCCAGCTGTTTAACCGGAACCGCAAAAGATATTTATAGTAAACCAACAAAAAAAAAAAAACAAAAATTACCCCAATTAATCAATAAAACCCATAATTCTTTTTGCAGACTTCCTGGGCGATTTTGGCAGCATGTCGATGCGGCGTCGGCACCACCCGCGTGGCACAAAACGCGGCCGACCACGTGGCAGCACAAGACGCGGCGGTGGCCATGGATCGCTGCAGCGCGTGCCGACGCCGACATCGCCAGCGGTTGGAGCGTTGATGGCAACTGCAACGACCACATCGCCGTTACCACAGCAGGAAGCAGGCGGCGGCGAGGCTGCAAGTGGCCTGCCCCTGCCAGCGCATGAGGAAGGTAAGTGCAGCCAGCGGCTTTTTATTGATCAGCTTCCTGGTACCCTACCCTGTTTATATGGACTCGAGTGTCACTTGTCGCTAATCGCCGACATAATCACGTTTATCGCTGCCTCTTTACATGCATATCTGCTTACTTATGTGTGTTGGTGTGTGTGTGTGTGTGTGTATGCTGCAGCTCTCTTAACAATTGGGCACACTTGAGTGGCGCTTTGTGGTCCCTGCCCCTTTTGGCTGCCCGCATTATTCATGGATGGAAATTTCACTTGTAGTACGTGACAATTTTGGCGCAGCACAAACCATTTTCATTATATCTTTATCCGATTCAATGGTATTTCCTGCTCCCCTTTTACTTAAATATTGCGTTCTCGCCCCATTCACGCAGTCAGGCCAAATATTTGTTCAAAGATTTGCATCTGGCTGCATTATCGCCGATGTACAAACAGAAACAGCCCCAGACGCAATCGATACTGTGACTACTCAGCATGTCGAGTACTTCCTAAGTGCCTGCAGTTGCTCTCGAGTAGTTTGGGGTTCCGGAATTTATACGGTGTACATTGCTAACTTCTTTAAATGATTTATGTAAATATTTTTAACATATTTTTTATTTCTCAGAATTTGTACTACAAATCTTTAGCACCTTCGTAAGGCTGTTATCATATGCTTAATGAATCGAGCTATTTATACGAATGTCAAATGAATTTAAAGTGTGTACTACGGTTGTCTTCTATATCAATGTATAAAACTGTTTGTCCTGACTGACTGACTGACTGTCTGATTGGTGAAGTTTTCACTGTAGTTACGTTACGTGATGAAGCTGTTAAGACTGGGTTCCGGGAATAAATCTTTTTTGTTCAGCATCCGATTGGCCTGAAGCCCATTTTCAAAGATCTTTGTTTTAGTTTATTTGAGGGATGCTTCAAACTTTTTTAAAAATGCGTTCCTCTTTGGTGGAAATGGGGGTTAACGATTTGGTGGGTGTCATTTTGTTTTCAAATTCATTTCCAAGGATCTATATGAAAAACCTTTTGAGAATCGTTTCATCTTTTTCGCAAAATCACACATTCACTGCGATTCAAAGATTGTTTGGCGAAGTTTTAAGTTTTCCCGATTTGCTTCAAACTTCTTTTCAAGCTCTTGATCCGATTGTTTTTAAACTCATTCTATATATAAATCTTAAAACATTATGCAGTTTTTCAAGACTTTTGCACAGATATACGCCCCAATGCTTATATTTTAGAAAGCAATTTCATTAGCAATATTTTAATGCTTTCGTTTCTTTCCCGGGCACGTTTGATTTGTTGTGCAAATTCAGATTGATCCCTGCTCATTTACAGAGATGTTCATCATTATTAACAGCAATTAGCAGCGGGCGACTTTCACATTTTGCAAACAGCTGTTCAGATTTAAAGCCTGAAATTAATGCAACCAGCCAGCAGTCGATTTTAGTAGAAAATTGTCAACAATTTCGCAGCTTCAATGCGAATTTTCAGTTGAAACACGTTGGCGCACATGTCAAATTTGCACAACAAATGTTAATTGCATAAATCGGCTTAAACGCTCAGACACAGACCAAAATGTTGCTGCTGGTGTATTACGTGTATGTGTGCGCGTGTGTGTGTGCTCGTGTGTGTACAGGGGTGTGAGGACAATGCGAATGCTATGGGCAGCAACAGACAACACGTAACAGTTAT